AAAAATTAATATCATAACCATCTCTCATAGCGCTAGAAATCGAAATTCCCCGAGTTCGCCGATTGTGCTATGTTTGGAGCTCTTTGGAATTTTGATTGAAATATAGTTGTCGTGCTTGAAATATATTTGTTAAAATATAACATTTTTGAAATACTTACTGGAATTTTCAATTTTTTCTCTAGTTCTTCTTCATCCTACTAGTTTTTCTTAATCATAAACTTTCTACTCGATCTTTCAACAAGATTCCAATTTCTGTGCGGATTAATAAAGAATCTGGTCCAGGGTAGAGAAAAGATTTGAATCTTTTATATATCAAATTATTAAAATTCTGTAAACCCGTCATTGCCGAGTTCCTTGAAGAAGATGGGCCGTTTGAAAATCTGAACATTAGGGTTCAAAGTTGGCTAGGTGTTTGAGATTTTGGTTGTAAACACTGATACGAGGTGAAATCTGAAGATTAGGATCGATTTGAACAGATTTTCTAGGGTTTTGAGTTGAAATTTTTCGAGCGAGTTCTCAACGAAGAAAACGAATTGGGTTCCTTCGATTCTGTGGGCGATTGTTGAATCAGGTTTCTGGGTTTTGCCTTGTGATTATAAGAGATTTATTCTGAAACGTTAGTCCGGTTTGATACATTGGTACAAAGATAAAGATTGTTGATTTCTTGATATTCTGTTAAGAGAAAATCTTCAAAGTTATTAGTTCACTACTTCCCGCCGATTACTTGTTATATTCTGTAAAAGAAAGACTTCAAATACATCACATTCGTTTGTTGATTACTCCCGCCATTCTAGAGATTGCTGGATATACTCTTTAGAGGAGAGGCTTCACATTCTTGCTGGGTATTACAACTTCGCTTCAGCTTCTTAGCCTATTTCGATTCAGATTCCGGTCAATTCTCGCCGATTTCTTGGTTGGTCTATGTTCCAGAGAAAGCACAAAAATATTCAAAGTTTCTTCTTCCTATTTGAACAAGAAATACATAGAGTATTGCTCCAGCTTATCGCAATCCATCACCGCAGGCCAGATTTTCGTTAATTTCAAGGGTTGTAATCCAGGTTCTATTGTTCCTCTCTTATCTTGATATTTTAATAATTCGATATTTTGGCATAATTGTATCTCCTTTCCTGCCTATTTTGTTCTTAAATCTTTAGTTAGTATCTGCCCTAGCATTGTCAAATTAATCACATTAGTGATAGCTTTGCCTACTTGTTTATATTTTAAATCTTTATTTCAAATATCCCATAGTAGTTCTATTCTAGTTTTGTACATTTTCTTTGTGACCTTTAGTTGTAGATTATTACCCCCTTTAGCTTTTGTATTGTATTTCTTCATGTATTTTTTTATCCTTTAGTTGCAGATTATAGTTTCTTTGTTTTATCTCTTCACCTATTTTTCTGACCTTTAGTTGTAGATTATAGTTCCCGTTAGTTCCTTTATTTTATATCTTTACCTGTTTTGCGACCTTTAGTGGTAGATTATATTTTAATAATTCATTTTATTTTTGTCGCTTGTTTTCGGGATAGGGCTTGCGTAGTGACTCCTAGATTATAGTGGCTTTGATGAACGATGGTAGGGTAAGGTCTTGTCCTAGGGGGTGTCAGCGCGAGGGAGGGGTGCGGGGGGCAAGAGGGCTAAGGGAGCTACTAGGCTGAGAGTGGGGTCTTAGAACATAGGAAATTTGACTAGAAAATCTGTAGAGTTAGCGAGGATTCTCGAGAAAAGGAAGATTAATATAGCTTGTGTACAAGAGACTAGGTGGGTAGGAGATAAGGCGCGGGATGTGGGCAGCTTCAAAGTTTGGTATTCTGGGAGGGTAGGGGTCAGGAACGGGGTAGGTATCTTGGTTGATAAGGACCTCCGTGTACTAGTAGTGGAGGTTCGGAGGGTGAATGACAGGCTGATGACTATTAAGTTAGTTGTAGGAGGTTTTATTTTGAACATAATTAGTGAGTACGCACCCTAAGAAGGCTTGGATAAGGAAGTCAAGAGGCGTTTCTGGGAGAATTTGGATGAGATGGTGTGTGGTATCCCGCATACCGAGAAGCTTTTCATAGGAACGACGTCTGGGGTGATATGATGATGTGCATGGTGGCTTTGGTTTTGGAGATAGAAACAGAGGAGGAACGTCTCTGCTAGACTTTGCTAGAGCATTTGATTTGGTGATAACAAACTCGAGTTTGTCGAAGAAGAGGGAGTACTTGGTCACCTTCTAGAGCTTAGTGGCCGAGACTCAGATTGATTATTTACTCTGCAGGAAGTGCGATAGAGGTCTTTGCACGTATTGCAATGTCATACCGAGTGAGAACCTCTCGACCCATCATAGGCTCCTGGTCATGGACCTTGAGATCACGAGGAAGAGGAGGAAGAGGGCGATGTATAGCGAATATAGGATCAAGTGGGGAGCCTTGACGGAAGCTAAAGCGCAGGAGTTGGAGGTCAAGTTGGTGACCATGGGGGCTTAGAGGAGTAGTGGGGACACAAGCGTTATGTGGACCACGACTGCGCATTACATTAGGGAAGTGGCGAGAGAGGTATTAGGGGTCTCAAAGGGTCACTCTGGTGGTCACAAGGGAGACTTGTGGTGGAATGGAGAGGTGCAAGGAAAAGTGAAAACCAAGAAAGCAGCGTATCTGAAGCTAGTAGAAAGTGTAAACGAGGAGGAGAAGAGGGCGAATAGGGAGCATTATAAGTTGGCTAAGAAAGAGTCAAAGCTAGTAGTTACGACAGCTAAGACTGCAGCTTTTAGTCATTTGTATGAGGAACTCGAGCGACGAGGGGGCGATAAGAGGTTGTTTAGGTTAGCCAAGACACGAGAAAGGAAGGTGCATGACTTGGACCAAGTGAAGTGCATCAAGGACGAAGAAGGTAGAGTTTTGTTAGATGAGGGGCTTATCCGTCGGAGATGGAAGACTTACTTCCATAGTCTCTTGAACGAGAAGGGGGACATGAGCATTGTACTAGGTGATTTGGAACTCTCCGGGAGTTGTTGTGACTTCGGGTATTTTAGGCGGATTAGAGTTGATAAAGTTGAGGGGGCTATTCGTAATATGAGCAGGGACAAAGCGACCGGGTCGGATGAAATCCCGGTGGAGTTTTGGAAGAGTGCGGGCAAGGCAGACTTGGAGTGGATCACTAGGTTATTTAATGCCATTTTTAGAACGAAGAAGATGCCAGAAGAGTGGAGGTAGAGCACGATGTTTCCTGTATACAAGAACAAGGGTGATATCTAAAATTGCAATAACTATCGGGGTATCAAGATGCATAGACATACTATGAAAGTCTGGGAGAGAGTGGTAGAGCTAAGGGTGAGGAGAGTGTGTATATTTCCGAGAACCAGTTTGGGTTTATGCCGGGGCGTTCGACTACAGAAGCCATCCACATTGTTAGGAGATTGATGGAGCAGTATAGGGAGAGAAAGAAGGACTTGCATATGGTGTTCATTGACTAAGAAAAGGCGTACGATAAAGTTTCTAGGTTGATTAAGGACATGTATGATGGAGTAAAGACCCGAGTGAGGACGGTGGGTGGGGACTCGGACCATTTTACGGTTATGATGGGGTTGCACCAGGGGTCGACACTCAGCCCCTTTTTGTTTGCTCTAGTGATGGACGTACTGACGCGCCACATCTAAAGGGAGGTGCCATGGTGCATGTTAGTTGCAGATGATATTGTATTGATTGATGAGATGCGAGACGGTGTGAATACTTAGAGTGTAAGTTCAATTGCGAGACTCAAGGAGGGGAAGGGGAGGTGTGGTTGGACTCGCATGTCATCCTTATGAGAAGGAGTTTTAAGTACCTTGGGTATATTATTCAGGGGGAATGGGAGATTGATGAAGATGTCACACATCGTATTGGGGCGGGATGGATGAAATAAAGACTTGCTTCAAGTCTTTTTTGTGACAAGAAGGTGCCACTGAAACTTAAGGGTAAGTTCTACAAAGTGATGGTTAGACCAACGATGTTGTATGAGGCTGAGTGTTGGCCAGTCAAGAATGCTCATGTCCAAAAGATGAAGGTAGCAGAGATGAGGATGTTGAGACGGATGTGCGGGCACACCAGGTTAGATAGGATCATAAATGAGGTTATTTGCGATAAGGTGGGTGTGGCCCCTATTGAGGACAAGATGCGGGAAGCACGGCTCAGGTGGTTTGGTCATGTGAGGAGGAGCACAGACGCCCCGGTGAGGAGGTGTGAGAGGTTGACATTAAAGAGCCTACGAAGAGGTAGAGGTAGGCCAAAGAAGAGGTGGGGGGAGGTGATTAGGCAAGACATGGCACAATTTCAGCTGACTGGGGACATGACCCTTGATAGGAAGATATGGAGGTCGAGGATTAGGGTAGTATAGTATGTAGTATAGAGTGTTCATAACAGTAGTATTGGCATGCAGTCTCACTTTCTGTTGGTAGTGGGTTTTTATGCCTAACCGTTATTTTCTTTCATTGTTGATCACGTTACTGTCTTGTTGTTTTTATTCTTCTTTTATATGAATTTTTGGTACTGTCCCTTCTTGTCTATATTTTCATTAATATGGTGCTTATACTTTCCTAAGCCGAGGGTCTATTGGAAAAAGCCTCTCTATCCTCATAAGGTAGGGGTAAGGTCTGCGTACACATTACCCTCCCCAGACCCCACAGTGTGTAATAATACTGGTATGTTATTGTTGTTGTCTAATGGAAGGTACATATAATGTGTGCTTTAAAGCTAATATTCTATCACTACCAAACAAAATACTAATATTTTCTAATGCTAAAGTTGGGGTTGCCGAACCATCTGCTTGATAAACATTGATTTCTCTTCTACTTAGCCGTACTTGAAACCCCTGCAAATAAGTGCAGACATGATTAGTGGCTCCCGAATCTACACACCATGACATAGTAGAAACAATCGCTAAAAGAGTTTCAACGATAAGTACATGTAAATTACCTGCTTTATTATTCATCTTGGCCTGATAAGCCGGACAATGCTTCTTGTGATGCCCAGGCTTCTTGCAGTGATTCACTTGCCCTTAGCCTTTTTCACACCAGCAGTTGCGCCACCAACAGAGGTCTTTTGAGTCATTTTCTTCTTCTGCCCGCCTCTCGGCTTAGAAAGAGAATCTACCTAAAAATTCAATGCCATAGGAAGAACTTGTTGCTTGATAATAGTCTCTGCCGACTGCAGCTCATTCGGCAATTTCGCAAGTGACAAATCAATTTTATTCATATTATAATTCAGGCAAAACTACTGAAAACTGTCAGGAAGAGTCTGCATGATCATTTCAACCTGCGTATCCTTATCAATGTTAGCTCCAAGGACCTCCGCTTCATTTAGAAGACTCATCATCTTCAGAACATGGTCCCTAACAGATGAACCTTCAACCATTTTGGTATTCAGAAGAGCTTTCATGGCAGTCTACTTAGTCGCACGATTCTTAACATCTCTTTGAGATTTTCTAGAATTCCATAAGAAGACTCTATAGACTGATGCTGATGTTGCAGAACATTTGACATAGATGCCAGAATGTAACACCGCACCATCTCATTAGCCTTAATCCATTTTTGGTAAGCTTTATGTTCATCATCGGTAGCATCATCTCCAGTTTTTTCTGGACATACCTCATCGAGCACAAATTTATACTCTTCAGCAATTAGGACTATATCCAAGTTTCGTTTCCGATCAACATAATTTGGACCCTCAAGTTTGTTTTGAGTAAGAATAACAGTAAGGGGATTGAAAGCAGTCATTGTTAATCTGAGAGACAATTGAATAACTAGATCAAAATCAGACATGTATTATTGAATATTAAATTCAAAACACACTACATACGTATAATCCATGCACCTTGAACAACAAATATCGATGGAAAAAAGCTATTCTTGCAGTATACATATATAATGACAGATTATTCACTCCATGAATTTAAACATACCATACTCAGATGGAGAGTAAACTGTTAATTTAAGTCAAGTGAATATCAACATTCAATAAACTAGTCCCATTGAACCAACACGAATACTCAGATGGAGAGTAAATACAAGTAATCAACAACTAGTATAACCTAGTGATTATCTATAATGAGTTTATCCGATATAGAAGAAGACCTACATCAACGTGTAAAATCATTATATCACCATAATTTAACCATGGAGTCCTAGGAAACGATCCCTACCACCACTGGATAAAAACAACTAAAAAAAAGATTTTCGAAAAAATTTCAGAAAAATATAAAAACGCCCAAAACAGCATCTAAACGACACCGAAAGCCCGAAAAACAGCTTACATCATAAGCAAAACTAACGAGTATTGATCACTGGGTCGTTTCGTATGGACCTCCCAAATTTCAGGTCAATCGGAGTCCGTCAACATGTTGACCTCCAATTTTCTGGCCAATTCAGATTATTCTAATCAAATATCATCAACAATAAGCAGATATTACATTATTTTCTGAATAATAACAACACTCGCAACAAATATTCATGCTAAAAAATATTACAGTCTTACAGAAAAATAATCTTTGCATGTAATTCAATACTTGCATATTAACATGATGCTCCTTTTCATATTCATCTTAATTATTTAATTAGACTTGATTAGGATCTGATACCAATTATTAGATTATATATCGCAACAGAATCAATTTTATTATCATATTCACGTATAAATTAAACAATTAGCACATATGGAGATTATACGAGTTACCTCTTGAAGCGTGAACAAAACAGATTAATCTCAGTCTCCAGTTCCAGAGCAGTAAGACCGCGACCTCAGCAAAACCTCCCACAATCTTCTATTGTGTTACCCAAATAATATCCGGAAAGAGAGAATTTCGGGTGGGCGAAATTCCAAGGAAAACGTGTAAAAACCAGTGCAAAAACGGCCAGCCCTATATGGAGTATATATAGCCACATTTTTTAGGTTAAAACCCTTTTCCAAAGCCTGTTATATTTTCTTCTTCCACTAAGGAAAGGTTCCCTTTATTTACTATTATTTAGGCACAATAGGGACCAAAATATTTAACAAACAAGGCTTCCTATTATGGAATTAATTTTAAATTTGAAATTAATTTCTACCATAATAAATTATGAATTATTCCACTAAAAATTTATAATTGCACTCCTTAGTTCAATTTAAAATATTCTTCCATAAAACCTTATTTAAACTACCCACGTTAATATTCAGATACTAAACAATCAAATTAAATTACTGATAATTTAATTTATTGATTACTTCCTTTAGACTTTCGCTTAACTTATTACATATGTTGAATACAAAATCCACCGGCCGAGTTTACGCATAAAAACTTATAAACTTTCATAAAGGAGTATCATCAATCTCAAAAGCCGAGATATGGATTCTATCAACTAATTATTACTTCGCCAATGTATATCATTATTGTCTAATTTACCAAGTTTATTGACCCACAAAAGAATCTCGCCTTTTAATAAATTAAAATTATAAATGACACACACAACTAATAATAATAATTAGATCAAGATTAAGAGTATACGTACATTGAATGGACTAGAGAAATTATTTTGTTAAGTCATCATAAATACTTATCTCTACTTGATTCGTTCAATACATACAAAATGTACTAGCACAAGAAGTCAGAATTAAACAATTCCCATAATCAAGATAAATTATATTTAATCTTGTGCTACAACCATTCCGATGGTTTGTCCAATTCCATGATTAGATTGTGAACATAAACTTTATGACTTATAAGAACCGATAATTTAATCTTCCGTGTATAAGCTAAACTCTATACACTAAATCATCTACTATATAAGCAACGGACGCACAGACAAATACGTTATCTATTTAAAATAAAACTTTATTGAATTGAATAAATAAACAAATAATTATTCCATAAAGAATACTATAACAATATGCATGGTTTATAGTATATCCTAACAGTATTAAGATATGATATGCTGATGACGAAGGAACTATTTCAGTAATTAATGAAGCAGACTACTACTGATGATGTGATCAGGTTTAGTCGAAAAATTAAGTGCAAGTTGGATTTCAGAAAGAAGTTACTTCGTGCGTTACAAGGAAAATATTTGCTGGAGGAATCTGAATTCAAAATGGATTTCAACAAATAAGGAAAACTTGCCAAGAAGGAAAAAGGTTGAGTAATTAGAAATAAACAAGAAAACCAAATCAGATTTCTGCTAGCCCTACACCTATATAAAGTGACCTATTAATGTTATCCCAGACTCATGTTATTCACACAGATCAAGCATGTTACTCTTGACAATAGCATTCACAGCAAACAAGGTGGTCTCAAGGATTTTAGCTACTCAACTAAAGGACATATTCCTAAAGAAAGAGCTGCTTAGTTCTTTAGTTGTTTGGTTGAGTCAGTTATTTTTAAATTATAACCTATTTACTTTTAAGAAGTGTAATTATGGGTTAGCACAAAACATTAAAGTTTTGTTTTACTTTCTAGACTAGAATTAGTTTAGAAAGGAGTAGCTATAATTGTGTTGATTGTAGAAAAATGGTACTAGAGTTAGCCCCCTTGATTATAATGTTGTAACCTAAAATCGCTCTTTGAAGGTAGTGAATTTTTGAGAAAAATCCAACGAGGTTAGATCGTGGTTTTTATTCCCTTGAACATGGAGGTTTTTTACTTAAAACTGTTGTGTTCTTAAATTCAGCACTTCACTAGTTGTTTGTATCTAAATCAGGTATAGGTTCTTTGACTCTGTCACGACCTCAATTTTCCTCCGTAGGATGTCGTGATGGCACCTAGTATCTAAAACTAGGTAAGCCTAACATTCATGCATAAATAACTGAAATAATGTTTAGAGTCTCAAAACTCAACAACTAATAATAAGAAAATCTCTACAACTTAGTATATATATAATTGCCCAAAACCTGGGGAAATACAAGTCACAAGCTCTATGAAGTTATACTGAATATCTCTATACATCAGTGGCTAATAAAGGATAAAAAAATAAAATAACTAGGTAGAGGGGAACTCCGAGGCCTCCGGACGCCATCAGGTATACCTTGAAGTCTCTGAAATTAATCTCTAGCTAGTGCCTGGTCCGGTAAGAGATACTCGGATCTGCGTAAAACGATGTGCAGAAGCATAGCATGAGTACACTACAACGGTACCCACGAGGTCAGGTCAGGGCCCTACTGGACTAAATAAGAAAATGAACAAGTGTATAACAGTGAAACTAATGATAACAATAGAAATGAAACAATTAAAGAAGCACACCAAAAATAGCTACACTGAACTAAGGAAAATAGTACTTCACAAAAGAAAACACGGGATACTATGACACGAAACAAAAATCCAAAAACACATGGGAAGAAATAGAAAGTATCAAAAGAATCAATACCGATGTACCACCTCGTAGTCTCAAATCACAAATTAATTCACAATCTTTCCTTATATCACTGCGGAAGCCTTACATTTAGTTTTGAAAATTATTTTTCTGAAATAGCATCCCGCGTTTTAACTCACCTTATCACACTGCATGACTTCTAATAGTTTCCATACTAGCCACGCGTATCAAGAACACCTTATCTCACCATATGCGTTTCAACCCCAAAATCTTATAACACCGCATGCGTATCAATATCACAACGTATAACAAATCGCTCCTCAAGTGCCCAATATCACAACTTGCCATAGAAACCAACAATAACAATGTTTTCACAAAAAAGAATTCATGGCTCAACCACAATGTACACAAGAGTCTCAACAACAATGACAGTTAGAGATTAACTCACAAGAATAGTATTTCACAACTTAACACTTTGTCTCAATACGATTCACGGCCTTTATAACTCAATACCAATTTCAACAACAAGATATACCAAGAATAACAACTTCAAGTAGAGAGTTCAATGGTTACATAATGAATATGGAATAAAGGAAACAAGAACGTCAACGAAACATGTAGAGCAATTAGCAAGTAAGAGAGAAGACAAGCAGAACATGTGAAAATGGACTAGAAATGATGACTATAACATGTTAAGTTAACTAAATTAAGGCATGAAAGGAATCTACATAGCTAAAACCGATAATTTCTATATTTAGCCCGTGCAGACACTCGTTACCTTGCGTACACGGCTTTCACACATCACTGTGATCACAAACAATACCAATCCTAAGGGGTAATTCCTCCACACAAAGTTAGGCAAGACACTTACCTCAAAACACGCTAACTCAATCCACTAGTAGGCCTTTCCCTCAATTATTCAACTCCGAACGGCTCGAATCTAACCAAAATAACTTCACACTATAAATATAAACTATAGGAAGCTAATTCGAATAATAAAGTTACGATCCTTGCAAAGAAATATAAAGTCAATTCAAAAAGTCAATCCGGGCCCGCGTCTCGAAACACGACAAAAATTATAAAATCCGAACACACATTGAATAACGAGTCCAATTATACAAGAATTACTCAAATTCAACCTTAAATCTCCTTTCAAAACTCAAAAATTTAGTCTACGAAGTTTTTACCATTTTCCCCTAAATTTTCAATTCAAATCCCTAATTAGATGATGAAAATTGTAATAGATTCTTGAAATATAGTCTAATCTGTGTTAGAATCACTTGCCCCAACAATCTTCTTGAAGAACCCTCGAAAAATCGCCTCACACCGAGCTCTCTAGATCCAAAATATGAAAAATAAGATGAACCCTCGTTTTTGAAATTATACACTGCTGCCCAGTAAGAGTTTGATGAGTGGTTGCGGCGGATACTGCCGCTCGA